GTTCTACGGTAAACCCTCTTCATGCTCATCTGTGTATATGAGGGGAGAGCTGATGAGTGACGCTCTGCCCTAGATCCTCATGGGAATGTGATTGGCATTTTAGCAGCACGGGAGGGAGGGAGGGAAATCAAATAACATGAGCAAAGCTCCTGGCACATAAATGACTCCATAAATTATGGTTCCTAAAGAAAAGTACTTACAAACCTGTTTCTTAGAAATATGAGCTCCTGCTTGAGTTCATCAGTCAGGATATGATCAAGGCATCAGTTTATTCACTGAGGGCACCCCTGGAGCGATTGCCCATCAGTTGTAGGAAGTGACAGGAGCCCCTCTGTGGAAGTTTGTACACTAAGTACATCCCTGGGCCCCTGAAACACTGAGCAACGATAAAACTGGGTAATTGTGGTTAGCACTTATGAACTTAAATTGGTGAATTCACTGAGAGCTTACCATGTACCAGGGAGTTTCTTAAGCACTTTACGTATATGAACTCATTTAATCCTCGTACCCATTCTGTGAGGTCCTACTACTGTTGCCATTTTGTCGATGAGGAAACTGAGGCACAGAGAGTTGATGTCACTTGCTCAAGGTCACACAGCAGTAAGTGCTGTAGCAGGGATTCAAACTCAGGAAACCAGAGTCAGCCTGCCTGCCTCACCTCTTGGGCAGCCCACTTCTGCCCGCCTCTACCACCCCTGCCTCCCATGTCCACCCTGGGCTGTGGGGAGGGGTTGCTTGAGGCCACAACTGTGACACTGTTGTGGGAACAGCCAGCTCCCTGTGAGCACTAGAGATCATGACAATGGCCCCATAGCCTCTCCCATCCTGGCAGCTGAGGTCCCCCACCCACCTGGCCCTGTCCTCTGGGTCCTACAGCCCCGTCCACTCCATCTGCCCCAGGGCATCCCCCCAGAGACTCGGAGGTGGCGTCTCTCCAGGCTGATCAGCCAGCTCCCTGCATCCAAGCCACAGTTCCCTGGGGTCTAGGAGGAGGCAGGTGTATCTCCTCTGATTTAGAGTTTGCGCCCCTAGCCATCAGAGGCCTATCCCTGGCCACTGGCTGGCCTAATAGGCCAAAAGGCAGAAGTGGCCTCCTGACTATAAATGTCCCTGCTCTGACAGGCCTTTTAGCAGCTGGGTCAATAGCCCTTCAGACTGGCTAATGTCTGTTAACGTCAGTCCTCTGCTCAGACCCTTTTAGGCACAGAGCCTGCCGGCCTCCAGGAAGCATCAGCCTCCTGTATTCACTGAGGAGGAGGAGAAGCCGTCTGGGGCTGGGGCTTCTGCTCTTAGAGTCCTGGGAGGAGTGTCCATCAGAGCCAGGCCTGGCTCTTGGGTTCGTCCGAGTCTGTGGCTCAGCAGCCCAGGCTGGGAGGCGGGAGTCTGAATGGCCTCCCAGACAGATTGCCTCCGGTCAGCCAAGGCCAGCTAGCTGACAATCAGCTCTTCCCAGGAACCCTCAGGGCAGAAAGTGGGGCATGGCCCTGGGCCAGAGTGCAGAGATCAAGGCTCTGAGAGCACTTGGGTGTGCCGCAGCAAAAGACGCAGCACTGATCATGCCCTTTCACCCAGGAAGTAATCCAAGAGAAGGGAAGGGCTGTGTGCAGGAAGAGGGCAGGATACTGACTCACAGAGGGCTGGTGCTCCCTCAGAGCACAGTAAGTATACCACAGACTCACACTTGGGAGCCAGAGCCCTGGGCTCTAACCCAGCTCTGTCCCTGACATTCCCTGTGACCCTGGGCAAGTCTCTCCTCCAGTCTGGGGTCACTGAGACAATGTTGTGATCCATTAGTAATGCCTGCCACAGGTGCAAGATTCAAGAACATTGCTGTTTTTACTGTTCCTGATCTCAGAGCCCTTCAGGCTCTGCAGTTTTATAAGAAATTTTTGGCTAATCCTGCAAAGACCCTGTCTTTTCAGGAAGTCTGAAGTTTTGTCTTAAATACCTTTTCTTAAAAAATTATTTCTATTTCCATTTTTATTGAAGTATACTTGATTTACAATGTTGTGTTAGTTTCAGGTGATTCAGTTATACATATACATATATGTATTCTTTTTCAGATTCTTTTCCATTACAGGTTTTTACAAGATATTGAATATCATTCCCTGTGCTATACTACAGTATGTCCTTGTTGTTCATCTGTTTTACACATGGTAGTGTGTATATGTTAATCCCAAACTCCTCATTTATTTGTTGCCCCTTAAATACTTTTTATTGCAAAACTTACACAGTTTTTGTAGATAGTTTAGAAAAAAATTTTTAAATGCACAGATGATAAAAACCACCCATTTACCCCACCATCTAGAGAGAACTGTTTGGTGCATTTCCTTCCAGTCTTTTTTTCTCAGCTTTAACGTACACATGTATGTGCATGCACGCACACACACACACACACACATATAATAAAAGCTCTTATATGAGCACTTACTATAGGACATCAGTGTTTGGCTTTTCATGCACAATATGTCATTTAACCCTCTCAACAATCTTGAGAGGAAGAGATTATTATTCACATGTTAAGAAGCTGCAGAATGGCCTGGTGGCTGGAGCAATGGTCCCAGGATATCTAGGCTGGGCCCGTGGGTGCAGTGTTCTTCCCGGGTCCTGGTGCCCCACTGCTCTCTTCTCTGCCCAGGGGCCCATTTTTTTTCAGCCACGGAGAAGGCAGAACCATCTGAAAGAAATAGAACTTTTGCTCATCCTCACACATCACTGTCAAATGACACAAGTTCAAATTCTTTCCTCTATTTTCTCTCTCTCTCTGAATGTGTATGTGAGAGTATAATTTTTTTCCTGAACCCTTTGAGGGTAACTTACATATATCTTTACCCTCTATCCCTAAACCTTATATATTTCCTACAGATAAGAATATTCTCTTATGTAACCACAGTACATCGTCGAATTCACTACATCTAACATTGCAACAACACTTTAATCTACCATAAACATTCCAACTTGTCAAACAACGTGTTTGATAGAGTTCCTCCTCCAGGAAGGGATCCAGTCTAGGTTGAGGTATCTAAGACCCTTTCCCAAGGGGCAGGAGCTGAATTGGGTGGAGTATTTCCGAAGGGAAGCCCAGTACCATGGCCTGTTTGCAGAGCCACTAAGATGCATGCGTTAGACCCCCATGAACCAGAGGCTCAATCATCTGTCTCCTAGCTTGCCAGAGGTAACAGGGATGTCCTATGTCTGTTCTCATGGCAGCTGCCTGTGTCACAGCCTTAGTAAGCAATGTCAGAGACCTTCACTGGTCTTTGCTTAGTCTCCATTGCACATGGTCTAGGATGTCCCACAAGAGCACAGTGGTCTCTGCAGAGCTGGGGAGGTGAGGCGAGGACACACTGTGGGTGTTCCCGGGGTTCACTGTGTTCCTGAAAGTTCATTTTTGTTTTAAATTTCATTTATTTATTTTTTATTATTTCTTTTTAAATTTTTACTTGTTTTATTTTTTATTGTTAATTCTATGCTGCTTTACAATTTTTATTGAAAGTTTGTTTTTAAAACTCCTGAGACTGTTAATTCTGCGAGGTAGAGTACTATGTCTTATGTTCACCCAGCACCTCAAACAGGGCCTGTTCCCAGGTTCCCGAAAGATTTGCTGTATGGATGGATGTTGGCCAGTTTCCTTCTCCGCTATCTCCTTCATTTGGATATAAAGGTGGAGTCTTCTGGTGGGTGGACTTTAGACCCTGAGGCTGGACAATGCATGTGGGCAGTGCCTGCGTGGGCAGGCAGAGGGTCCCTGTACTGCCAGGGCCATGCAGTGTGATGTGTAAAATGAGTGTGCTGGTCCCTGCCAGCTCTGGGTTTCTGTGACTGAGCTGGTGTAGCTGTCCCATGACCTGGGGAATCTCAGCTTCAGGGCTGGGTAGCCTGGGCTGTGAGACCTGTGTGTCCTCCCAGCACCTATACGGAATTCTCAGCAGGAAAAGGAGGAGGGAAAAGAAATGCCCTTTCTTTTTAATTGAAATATAACTCCATACCATAAAATTCACCATTTAAGTGTATAATTCAGTGGGTTTTAAATATTCACATGGTGGTTTAACCATCACCACTAATTTGAAAATAATTTCATGACCCCCAGCAGAAACTCCAAATCCGCGAGCAGTCACTTCCTATTGCCCTCTTCCCCCAGCCCTAAGCCACCACTCGTCTGCTTTCAGTCTAAGAATTTACCTATTCTGCGTTCTTCATATGCACTAGTCAGGGTTCTCCATACTAGGTACCAGGGGATGTATTAATTTGCTCGAGCAATGAAACTGCATCTGGTACATCATCTAAGTGGAATCATGCAGTATGTGGCTTTTTATGTCTATCTTCTTTCCTTAGCAAGATGTTTTCAAGGTTCACCCATGTTGTAGCGTGTATCAGTACTTCATTCCCTTTGTTGGCGGAACAGTATTCCTCTGTATGAATAGACTACACTTTATATATTCATTCATCCACTGATGGACATTTGGGTTGCTTCCACCTTTTGGTTATTATGAATAATGATGCTGTGAACAATGATGTACACTTTTTTGTTGACCTATATTTTTATTTCTTTTGGAGATATACCTAGCAGTGGAATTACCAGGTCGTATAGTAACTCTGTTTAACCTTTTAAGGAGCTGCCAGACTGTTTTCCACAGTGGCTGCACCATTTTTGCATTCCCACCAGCAGTGTATGAAGGGAAACGTTCTTTTATTGAACACCTACTGTGTGCTAGGCACTGTGCCAGACTCTTCCTGTACCTCATGTCCTATGAGTCTCACATGAACCCTCTGAAATACCTATTATTGCCTCCATTTTACTGAAGAGGACACTGAGGCTCAGAGAAGTGACTCCCCCAGGATCACACAGGGATTAGTGGTAAATTCTAGATTCACACCCAGTCCTGCCCCATACATTCTCCTGTCTACTCAGTGATTGCTGGCTGCCCGAGCGACCCTCTAGATGCTAAGGTGGAGTTAATCCCCTCCCCTCCTCAACTTTCCTGGGTACTGTTTTACAGACGGGAAAGTTGGACCCACACTACCCGAAGGTCTGCGGGCACAGAGGGAACGTCTTAGACATCAAGTGGAACCCTTTTGATGACTTTGAGATCGCCTCCTGTTCCGAAGATGCCACGGTGAGTGTCAGCGCATGAGGTGGTTCCCTTTCCTGAGAGGAGCAGGACTGGGGCATAGGGACACAGAATGGTGTCTGGACTCAGCTCGGACACTCCTGATTCTTTATCCTTCATTAGGTGAGGTCACTGTGAGCCGAGGGGGTAAGTTAGGTTGAGGAGGAGAAGTTCTGGGTCCTATGAGACTTAGGCACCACACTTCCTCTCTATGCGCCTCAGTCCCCCATGTAAAATAATGGGCATAATGGCCCCCAACCATCTAATGAAGATCCAATGAAATTCATTTTCCAGTGAGAAAGCCCATCTTTCAAGACAACTATAAAATGCTGTAAGCAGCATTTTTATTGTGGCCAGAAAATACTGTGCCACTTAATCTCATAGACAGTGGGGAGGGGAGATTGTAAAGGATAAAAGTGGGAGCACTAAATGAATATGGATACCAAAACAGTCCCCAAAGCTCCAGTCTCACCAACTTTCTGAGCCCCTGTTCTGTGCCAGGGTCATAGTCCATGCCCCCACAATGTTTGGTGTTATTTATAATGTATTCTGTGCCCACTTCTAAAACTCAGTGGGTATAGCTTAAAACAAAAGACACAGATATGAACAAATGATTAAAATAAAGATAAAAGTCATAGTTACCATTTAGGTAATAGTTACCCATGGGGTTCCTGACTCTCTTTACAAATATCATTTCACTCAGTCTTCCCAGCAACCCCACAAGGTAGGATGTTTTTCTGATGGAGAAATTGAGGATCTGAGAGGTGTGGCAGTTTGCCCAAGGTCACACAGTTTGTGGAGGTAGAGCCAGGCTTCAGACTAAGGCTTGATTTCAGAGCCCAATATGTTTCCACTGAGCTATGCCATTTCCCTAAAGAGCAGCAGCCACAGATGGAGGAAGTGAGGAAATAATACTAGAAACGTTGACTATGGAGGGTGGTAGCTGTTGAGTTCCATGTTTAGTTTAGAGCTGCCTGGCAGCCAAGGCAAAAAAGGAAATAGAATGTATTGCAGAACCCTCACTGTCTAATCAAAGGAAACAGACCAGTTCAAGAGAAGCAGGTAGAAAATCCTAAGAGGACTTGTGTCCTTTCCACATAAAAGATGCTGAGAAACATAAAGGACAGTGTCTGCCAGCATGTGATTTCCCCAAAGGGGCAGTTGGGCTTGTTGAGAACTGGTCTTATCTCACACGAGAGTAGGACTTCCGATAGGATATCAAATATCTGACTCTGTGTCCACTCCTGGAGTATCTGCCCTTGCAGGCCTGCTTTGAAGTCTCCCTCAAGATCTTTATTAAATTCCTAGCTAGTCTCATCTCCTGTCCCTTCCCAGATGCCCCAGGGGCAGGAGGAGTGAATACAATTATTAGGGGTGGCAGAGATGACCCTCTAGCTCTGGGGAATGTTGGGGATGGTGTCTGTACCTTCCAAACAGACCTGCCCAGCGTCTGTCCTCCAGCCAAGTCTATCTGTGCAGTAACAGCACTCACCGGACTCCATCTCTCTGGAGCCTGGCACTATTTGGCAGCGGGAGCAGGGGGGTGGGGGTGTTGGCTTTCTGGTTTTAAATTCAAGACAACCAGGAAATAAATATTTGCTGCACTGAAAGCAAAGTCTACCTGAAAAGCAGTTTATCTGTGAAGGAAAGAGGACAAACAGTCATGTAGGGGCCCGAGAGCCCTGCAGGACAATAAGGAACATTTAGTCAACACCAGCCTGGGCTCTGTCACCCTCTGCAGCATCCCTCAGCACCTCCATTTGTATGCTTCCGTGATGGGGAGCTTACTTTCTACCATGTAAGCCCCTTCTATCCTCAACAGTACTACTGTGGAAGAAAGCCCCAGCTCCTCCCCGCAGGCCCCTACTGTGGAATGCAGGCCTGTGCCCCGATCCAAACCAGCCTTCTGGCCTTTAGTCTTTCTTCTTCCACCCTATAAAGGAAGGAGTTGTCCCTCCCCTGTCTTGCTCCAGAGACTGCACTGGCTCCCTATGCCCTGAGGATGTAGCATAAACCCTTCCTCCCGGCATTCAAAGCTCTACTCTGAGCCTTTGGGACCAGGACAAGGTAGACCATTGTGCTTTGAGGGATAATCTAGGCTGAGGGGCCCCAGCTGACTCTCCACTAAATGAGAGGTGGATGCAGAGAGAGCTCCCCTGGCCCTTCTGCTGAGCACTGCCAGTTCTGTGGCTCAGGATCGTGGGGGTGCCAAGATGAGCCTGGCTAACACTTCCTTTTGGCCACCTCTCCCCTGACAGATTAAAATCTGGGACATCCCCAAGCAGCTGCTGGCAAGGAACCTCACGGCCTGCAGGAAGGAGCTGGTGGCCCACTCCCGCAGAGTGGGCCTGGTGGAGTGGCACCCTACGGCCGCCAACATCCTCTTCAGCTCTGGCTACGACTACAAGGTGGGTCTGTATGTTAGTTTCCTGGGGCTGCTCTGACATATGATCAAACTGGGTGAGTTAAGACAAGAGAAATGTATTCTCACACATTTCTGGAGACCAGAAATCCAAAATCAAGGTGCTAGGAGGGCCATGCTTTCTCCAAAGGCTCTAGGGAAGAATTCTTCTGTGCTTCTTACAGCTTCTGGCAGCTCCAAGCACACCTGGGTTTGTAGCTGCATCACTCCCATCTGCCTCCGTCTCTTGCCGCCTTCTCTGTGTATGTGTGTCCTCTCCTCTTCTTATAAGAACACCAGTCATTGGATTGAGGGCCCACCCAAATCCAGTATGACCCCACTGTAACTCATGACATCTACAAAGACCCTATTTCTAAATAAGGTCACATTCTGAGGTTTCAGGTAGACATGAGCTTTGTGGGGACACTGTTAGTCTTCCTGGAGGGGATGGGCTGGATCCTGCCCAGAGAAACCTCCCCCTGCTCCGTTGGCTGCCAAGCTAGCAAGCTGTGGGCCCTGTGGATTGGGAAGACTCACAGTATGAGGCCTAGATTCTATTCCCACTCAGTCTCTGACTTGCAATGTGACCTGGAAAGTCCTTTATCTTCCCTGGGACTCAGTTTCTCAGTCTGGGGTTAATGTGACCATAGCCGTGACTTTTAAACTCTTCCCTTCACAACTCTGTAGGGCACTTCAGGGGCCTCTGTGGTGGATAAAAGGGTGTGATGGGAGCTGTTGGGAGGGCCTTTTACCCCGTTCTGGTCAAAAGTGCTCTATTATCCTCTTATGTAGGGTGTGCTATGGTTTATGACTGTGCAGGTTATTCTGTACACAACTCTGGGGGGGTGCTATTCACATTATAGACTATGGAAATGGGTTGCCCTGGAGCTGTGCAGTGCACAGCCTAAGCAGCTGAACATGACAGCCCTTTTTATCTGTGTGGTGGAAACTGTTGCTAATGACGGTTTGAAACCCCCTGGACTGGCTAGTCCCCTGGGGTCCTCCCAGCATAGATGTTTTGTTGCTCCAAGCAGATGGTGTTTTCTTTTCACTGCCAGACAGCCTGACTCCTGGCTTCCCCCTCCTGCCACGTGGCAGCGGATCCATCCTCCCACCCGAGGCCTCTTGGCCAGACTGCCATCTGCGGCTTCCCTCCCGGGGATACCATGTTTCACTGCAGCCTGGCTGGTGTGTGACTGTAGGGGCCAGGGAGGGAGGTGGCGGCCACTGTGCTCAGAGTTGGCTCTCTGCCATGCAGGTGATGGTCTGGAACCTGGATACAAAGGAGTCTGTAATCATGAGCCCCGTGAAGACAATTAACTGTCACCAAGACGTGATCCTCTCCATGTCCTTCAACACCAACGGCAGCCTGCTGGCCACTGCCTGTCGAGACCGCAAGATACGAGTTCTCGACCCCCGAGCAGGGGCAGTCCTCCAGGTCAGTGCTGGGGTGGGGTGGCTTGGGGTCGGAGGGGCAAGGAGTGGAATGAGGATGGGGGAGGCTTCTGAGAACAGGACAGTAACACTGTCAGTGTTCTGGCCAAGCCTTCACACGTGTTATCCCCATCTGCTGGGAGGTGCAGAATATGTCATCCCTATTTTTTAGATGAGAAAACTGAGGCCAAAGAGAGGCTACATGACTTGCCCACACTGAAAGCTGGGACTTGAACCTGGTCTGACTCCAAAGCTTGTCAGTGTGCCTCAGCTCTGTCAGGAGGCATGACATGGAGTCTGGAGACCTCAGGGCACCGCTGTTTATCTACTGTGTGACCTCAGACAAGCACTTTCTACTCTCTGAGCCTCTGTTTTCTCATCTGCAACAATGGGTCATTAGTCTTTCGTTTGGGAGGATTAAATGAGATGACCCAGGTGACAGTGCCCAACCTGCCCCATACCTTGCATCTCGTGTATGCTCGATAATCTTTTAGCAAGAGCATGGAGCTGGGCCAAAATCTGCCTCTATTCTAGCTGAGAAAATGAACTCTCAACAAAAATAGTGGGAGAGATTCTGGATGAATGGGAGAGACTCAGGAAGGCTTCCTGGAGGTGGTGCCCCTGGAAGGATTCTCCAGGCAGAGCTGGCGTAAGAAAGTAGCATAAGCAGGTGGAGCAGCAACATAAGCAAAGGCAGGGAGTCCCTGACCACACATGTCCTTCTAGGAAGCCAGCTACAAGGGGCACAGGGCCAACAAAGTGCTGTTTCTGGGGAACCTGAAGAAGCTGCTGTCCACGGGCACATCCCGATGGAACAACCGGCAGGTGGCCCTGTGGGACCAGGTGAGTCTCCCGCACGACCCCACAAGGCCTCTCACCAGCGCTCCTCAGCTGAGTGCTGGCTTCCTTCATTCATTCACGCATTCACTCACTGATCGAACTGATTGATGAAAACCAGGGAGGTGCCAACAGCCCAGTCACACTCACCCAGACCTTGTGCATCTTGTCGTTCAAGAGAGGGGAGGGGTCAGGACCCAGGAGAGGCCCTGGTGTAGGGAAGGGAAGGTGGCTGAGTCTGAGACCAGGGCTGGGGGAGGGAGAGAGAGAGGGCCTTCTGGGTGGAGGGAACAGCTGGAACAAGGACTTGGAATGAAATAGGGAGGCGTGTGGGTGGGAGGAGCTGCCTGTTCAAGGTGGTAGGGGTGGGAGTGAGGCCCAGCCAGACCAAGTAGTATTGATTTGAAGGAGCACTCGGAGTCATTTCCTCTCTGAATTTCCTTCTTCATCTATCATCGTAGATAGAAAACAGGAGGGGGAGGGCTGGAGTGACATCATGCGTGTGAGAAGTAATTTATTAAAGGCAAAATACTGGCGGGATAAAAGGTGGTACGCTCTCCCGCATGGCACAGGCACGCGCACACGCACACGTGTATACACACCCACCCCAGAGCCCCATGGCGGAGATTCTTACCTCCAAGCACCACCGAGGGCGTCCGTGAATGACCCACAGGCCTTCCTGGTCTCCGTTCCTTTGCAGGACGACCTTTCTGTGCCTCTCACAGAGGAGGACCTGGATGGCTCCTCAGGTGTGCTGTTTCCCTTCTATGATGCGGACACCAACATGCTCTACGTGGTGGGGAAGGTCAGTCTGGCACCAGAGGGAGTTGGCTGCCCGGACCCCTGAGGCAGGAGGCAGAACTACCCTGAGTCTAGTCCCGTCTGTGGTCAGACAGCAGCCTGGGACCCTTGTGGGGCAGGGCAGGGGAAGGGACAGGCAAGAGTGGATACTCTGCACCTGTGGTGAGCTCGCACCCCTCTCCCACCTTCCTGGCTCCACAGGAACACCTGGGGTCAGGGCTTTGGCCAGACACCCTGAGCTAGCCCCTCCCCAATTCTGGGTCCAGATGAGGAGGAACCAGTTGGTGTTTCTCAGCAGGGGTACCTTCGACTTTGGGGCAGGGGGTCCTCACTGGATAGGACTGTTCTGTATTTGGCATCCCTCGCCACTCCTACCCACCAATGCCAGGAGTAGCGCCTGCCCACCCCACCCCACCCCGCCCCGCCCAGTCACTGTGACAGTGACTACCAGAAATGCCCTCAGGGACAAGACCTGCTAGATGGTCTCAGGACACCCCACTTCTGACCTTCGTGTGCAGCTCTCAGATAGGAGTGGGATTCAGGCCTGTGCTCCCAGAGCCTCTGCCCTGGAGGCACATGGGTGGGCTTCGGGTCATGGTTGGGGGGACTGAGTGTTAAAATGAGGACCTCCCTGTTGCCTTGGTGATAGTTCCTTACTGTGCCCTTGTGTGAGGTGGCTCTGCCAACTCTTCATTCACAGTGAATGCCAAGTTTCTGCTGTAGGGCAGTGGGGGCCAGCTGGGAGGCTGATGGGACCTAGCTCTGAATCATACCCTCCCCTCCTCAGGGAGATGGGAACATCCGCTACTATGAGGTAAGCGCCGACAAACCTCACCTGAACTACCTGACTGAATACCGCTCCTATAACCCGCAGAAGGGGATCGGTGAGTGTGGGACAACGAGGCCACTTGGGGCCTGGGGATCAGGGATATCACATGCAGGTCCTGCCCACACTGGGGAGGAGAGATGGTGGGTCAACAGTCTTGAGTGGATGGGAGCTCTAGTCGAGGTGTGCTGGGAGCACACAGAAGGAAGTCATGGAGGGCTTCCTGGAGGAGGCAACATTTAAGGAGCCAAAAGAGAAGCAGAGCACAGCATGGGCAGAGGATGAAGGTGTTCTGGCCCAAAGTTAAGCAGTTACAACAGTAGCAAGGAGATGGGAGATGTTGACCAAGAGAGGCCCTACTTTTTAAGTGCATTTAGGGATTAAAAAAAAAAGATGTAACTATACGCTGTCTACAGGAAACCCACTTACAAATGAAGACACAGTTAGATTAAAAGTAAAGGGATGGAGAAAGATAGCATTCTAACAGAATCAGAGGAAAGCTGGAGCTGCTCTATAAAGAGCATCTGGGTCGGGAGCCATGGGGATGGCGATGGAGGGCCTTGAGCAGAGCACCCTTCCTGTAAAAGTTTAGCCAAAATCATTTAAGTCCTTGAAAGTAGGGATAAGGTTTGATGATTTCAACCCCATTTCGCTAGCACAGGCCCTGGTCTAGTGTGGGACTGTTTATTGTGGTGAGGATGGTAGGAGGAGGCTGGTCCCCCTTTCACATCCAGGTGTGCAACCTGGCTTTGCTACTCTCTCTGGGTCTCTTGGGCCCCAGCCCATCCTGAGGACCTCTTGACCCTCCTTGGCCGTCTGCCCGCAGGTGTTATGCCAAAGAGAGGTCTCGACGTGTCCTCCTGCGAGATCTTCCGCTTCTACAAGCTGATTACAACCAAAAGCCTCATCGAACCTGTATCCATGATCGTACCCCGGAGGGTAAGGGTGTGGGGGCAGTCTGCGAGGGAGGTGGGGAACCCCTCCTGAAGGACCCTGGGGCCTGGAGCCCTTGCCCTTGGGGCAGCAACAGGGGTACTGATGGCCCCTTGTCAAGGGGAAGGCCTTTCTGGTGGTCAGCACACTGTCACTGGGAGCTAGGCTTCCTGAGTGTCACTCTACCTGTGCTCTTGAGTGGCTCTGTGACCGTGGGCACATCCCTTTGCTCTCTGGGCCTCTGTTTCCTGAACTCATGAGGGTTGGGAAAGCCTGAACCCCCAGCTCTCTAAGGGCCCTCCCGCACCATCCCCACTCTCACTGTCCTGACTTCTCCTGCAGTCAGAATCCTACCAAGAGGACATCTACCCACCCACAGCAGGTGCCCAGCCCTCTCTGACAGCCCAGGAGTGGCTCAGTGGGATGAATAAAGGTGAGAAAGGCAGAGAAAAGGCCTCAGGCGAATGTGGGGAGACAATGGCATGTCCAGTGCCCGGGTGGCTGAGAGGGGTTTGCCTGGTATTTGTGTTCTCCTGTTACCCCATAACCCTGGACTGGTCCTCGACAGTCAGTCCCCAGTGGTTAGGATGGTCACATATGGGTCCAGAAAGGGAGAGGCTTGTCCCAAGTGGCTCTGGAAACTCCCTCCGAATCAAAGGATTTTGCTCCACGAAAAGCATCTTTAAACTCTGGGCTGTGCAGAGTGACTGGATAATCTCAGCTGGCTGCCCCCTGCCCATCCTCCCGCCACCTCTGCAATTACATTCTAACTCCAGAGACTCTAGGCACCAGCCCCTGCCTGGACCCTTCTGCCCACTCTGCCCTCCCTGACTCTCCCTCCCTGGCCTGTCAACATAAGGGCCTGTGCAGGGGAAGGCAGTGTGTGCTCCCACCCTGGTTCCCGCTCCTCAGCTGCCTTGTACCCCCTCCCTTTTATGTGTAACCCTTAGTCTCGCTCTTGTCTGGGCTCAGTTTCCTCATTATATCCGTGATGCCTGCCTCCCCGGCTTCTGAGGGTGTTGGGAGAATTCATGAACTGGTAGATGGCAGAGTGCAACGCGGGTGGGACTCTCCTTACAAAGCAAGGTCAAGGCTTTGCCTGAGCAGCTTGCGGTGTTGGGGGGCAGCTCCTACAAACCAGGCCTCCCTTAGATAATCATAACGAGTGTGTATTTACGCTCCTATTGCTGCACTCTGTGGGTTTGTGCCTGTGCACGTGGCCATGTCTCCCACACCTGTCACGTGTATCACTGTGTTTGTGTGTGGCTCTGTGCATGTCTGTGTGCCTGCATGTGTCAGTGTCCCCCACACCCATCTGCTCCGGGGCCACTCAGTCCTCACACAGCTCTTTGCTTCCCTCCCAGGGCCAGTCCTGGTGTCCCTTAGGCCTGGCTCCGAGCTGCTGAGCACTCGTCCTCTGCCCCCAGAGAGACCCCTCTCCAACCCCATGGCCCCCACCTCGCCTCTGCTCTTCAACCAGAGGGAAAAGCTGGGTGCAGAAGATGGCCGGAGGCCCTTCTCCCTGCTGGAGGAGAAGGCACCAAGGTGGGCGGCAGAACACAGGCTGGAGGAGAAGAAAACTTGGCTCACAAATGGCTTTGACATCTTTGAGTGCCCCCCACCAAAGACGGAGAATGAGGTGCGAACAGGGGTGGGGTGGTCCTGTGTGGGGAAGGGGCAGCTGTGAGCAGCTGGGGTGGGGAGGGAGGAAATGAGGGCTGAGAAAAATAATCAGCTGCATGACCTGGCCACTTAACTCACTTTGCTGAGCCATTCAACAAAGAAGTAATGAGCACCTTCTGTATGCCAAGATGGTGGGTTTACTTACAGATAGTGGCGAACCATCTGTAGAACGAAGAGAGTTTGACTTGGTGGGTATTAAATTCCCTCCCAGTTCTGAAACTAGGATTTTCTGTGCTCTCAGAGTCAATATTTATTAAATGCCTACTGTGTGCCAGGTCCTGGGTAGGTAGGCACTTCGATCTGATTGAATTTTCTCAACAGCCCTGGGAGTCAGGATGTGGTGGCTGAAAACACAAGGACTGGTGCCTCACAGAGGGATTCTGAGCCTGGCCTTACGGAGCCTCTAGGATGTTAGAGCTGGGGGCTGAATCTCTTAGCTTCGGTTTCCATGGTGGTAAAGTAAGGATGCTAATAATATCACCCTCATAAGGGTCTTGTCAGCACCTAGTGGAATAACGAAGCTCCTTAGGGGGTACACTTAACATCTAGTGCCATGCTATATAGCAGCAGCAATTGTCATAATGCTGGGGTTAGTTTTCTGATCTCTAGTTTCCAGAGGAGGAAACTGAAGCTCAGAGAGGGTAAGTAACTTGCCTGAGGTCACACAGTTTAGTGGTGGTAAAAACTCTGGTCTCCAAGACTTCAGGGCCAAGTATCCTTTGCTCCACTCATGGGGGAATCTAAGGAGGCAGAAAACTTCTGAAACGTCAAATCTTTTTGAATTTCATTTACTGGGTGATGAAAAGGTTTTTGTAAAACTTCTATGCCATGGATGCCCCCTCAGCCTCAGCCACCTTAATCACCCCACCTTTCTGCTTCAAAGAGAAGTAATGTTTTATGCTTTCTGCTGGTGTCATGCCGCCTCATATCCCAGGACATCCGGGTGACCTTCCCTCTGCTCTATGCTTTCCTAGCTGCTACAGATGTTCTATCGGCAACAGGATGAGATCCGAAGGCTCCGGGAGCTGGTGACCCAGCGCGAGGTCCAGGCCAAACAATTGGAACTGGAGATCAAAAACTTGCGGATGGGCTCAGAGAGGTTCTGAGCAGAGGTCTCTGCCCTCCTCGCCTCAGGGACACCACTCAGCTCCACGGGGAGGTCCAGAACCAAACCACAGGTCCCCCAAGAACAGCCACTCTTTCTATATTTTTTACCAGAAATGAAACTCTTGGTTGCTGAAGGATTCCAGTGGGACCTGGTGCCGTTTTTCTATTTGCCTTCTCGAAAAACAAGTGTCTGAATTGACTCTTTTTAGATGATACCTTGCCTTCTGTTTAATTGCTTTGAAGGGTCCACAATAACTTCTCAAGGGGAAGAACATTGTAGAGTTAGAGCTGGAAGGACCAAAGAGGTGAACCTGCCTGGAATTTCAAACTGTGGTCCATAAGCAAGGGGAGAAGGCTAAGCAGGAGGGCTCTGCCCTCTGCCTGCTGTTGCAACCAGACAGCTCCCCTCCTTTCTGTTTTATATATTGGCTTCTAAGGAATACAGAATTCTGCTACTGAAAGAGAATTTTGGTTTAAAAACCAGTAATGTGGCGCAACCTCCTTATTTGACAGGTGGGGAAACTGAGGCCTGGAGAGGCAAGTAATCAAGGTCCCCAGAGAGTTCATGGCAGGGCTGGGCTGAGCACCTGGTCTCCTGGGTCTATCTCTGCTGTTTGATGCAGCAGATGTGCAGGTCTCAGCCCACGGGGCAGGAATCTGTTGGTTCTGGCCTCAGCTGTGTCCCTGACTTGCTCAGTGACTTCTTGCAAGTCATTCCCTCTCTGGTCTCACTTTCTCTGTCTGAACAAGGGGGCCCTTGGAATGGGCTGTCCTCTGTAGGATCTGCCGCCTGAGATAAGAAACCTTGGCCTTGACCTGAAGAAAACTACGTGTAGGGTGATGATCTGGGTTTGCTGCAGGAACGCAAAAGACATTGACAAAGAGGCAGCAAGAGTTTAACTTCAGGGAAATAAGTCAAGGTTCAGCAGTAGAACACAGGCTGGAGGCCACTCTCTCTTCAACCAGAATCCATCGGATGTGGATACACACTATTCCTTATGTGGGGATGCAGACAGCAGAGTGGTGCCCATGACCACTGACTGCCACCACCAAAGCCCTCAGGTCACAGAGCCTGCCTCCAGGATGATGTAAGCAGATTTCAGGCCAGGGTAAAAGAAGTCTCCAGGAGGTAGTGAGCCCCACACTGGAAGTGTGCCAGCAGAACCCCATGGCTGGCCACCCATGAAGGCTTCTGGAGTAGGATGACTACACCAGGCAAGGAAGTGGGACCAGTTGGCCCTGACCTTCCCTTCTGGCCTGAGAGTTTTTCTGTGTCCCTCCTTTATGAATCTGTGTTCTGAGCCCTTTCTCTAAGGTTCTCTCTTTTTCAGTGGTCAATACAGCAGCCCAGCTAGAGATGGGGAATGTTGGGAGTTAAATGTGCCCCTCCTTGCCAAGGAGGTGCAGATGATGAGTTTTGCCCATTGCACAGGATGATTCTGGAGCCAAGATGGGAACAGCAGGAGGTCACCTAGCCTGGTAGGTTTCAACCCAGGCTGTACATTAGAATCCCCTGGGAGCATTCAGGAAATAGATACCCAAGCCCAATCCTGGACCAACTGAAGTTCAATCTCCAGAGTAGGGCCTGGCCTTGTGTATGTTTTTATAAGTTTCCAGGTGATTCTGCAATACAGTGAGGATAGAGACCCACTGGGCTAGTCAACTTTACCTATTTGCAGTAAAGATGAGGACAGTGAGTACCAGACAGGTTCTGAGACTCCAACTCCATCTTCTAAGCCCAGGCTGGAAGCTCCTAAAAACATCAAGAAGCATTATCCAGGGTGTCTCTGGGACCCCCAGCTGCAACACGATAAGGGCTCTGTGCTCCTGACTGCCCCCTCCGCTAGGTGAGGCTACAGTCACCTTGTGTGCCCGCACATGCTAGATGCCCACGATCCTTGTCGTGTTTACTCAGCTGCTGGGGCCCGCCAAGCTTGCCAAAGGCCAAATCCCAGGCATTGTCAGGGAATCAGAGCTCCGCTGGCTGGGATTACCTCTCCCACCTCATTTGTGGCCAGCACTTCGCAGTTTACGTAGTCCTCCCACCTCCACTCACTGACACATCCTACTCTAATACGGGTCAGCTAGGCGTTAATGATCCCCACGTTCAGAAGGGAAGACCTAGCCTCAGAGAATGAAGAATCGTCAAGCCCAAGCCCAAAGGCACTGGCTGCCAGGCGTGGAGGTGGGGCTGGTCTGGGAAGCTGCCTGCATGCCTCCTCTTCACAGAGCCATCCCGCCCTTCTCAAGCTCTCCCCGCCCCTAAGGGACCCAGACCTCATGCTTACGAAGGCATCCATGAACAAACTTCTTTTTTCTTTTTTTTTTACATCTATGGTAAATTATTTAAATTATTTCACAGCAAGGGAGAGGGATAGGTAATTTTTATCAGATATTTTTTTAAGCCATTTTTTAAAATTACATTTATGTTCTTGCCTGATGAAATGGGACTTGCCCAGCACTTGCAGGGCCCTCAGGCTCAGGGCAAGCAGAATGTGTACTCATCTCCTTACTCCATATCCTGGGAGCCCCCTGACTGTTGACTCAGGAACTTTCTGAGAATGAAGACAGCCCTGGGAGATGAGCTTTGGGGTGTATCCACCTTAGCTCTGCAATCATTGAGATTGTATCATAGAGGGAAGCAGGAAGTGAGAAATTAATCTATGCTTTTCATATGAAACCGTGCCTGAAACAGTTTGATTGGTTTAATGTTGTTTCTGAAATTCCTTGTACCTTTGTAAAAAAAAATAAAATAATATAAAGAAATAAAAGTGAAAATATAAATAGATGTGGAATCGTGCAATGGAAAGAATGTGATAAAATAATAAACATCTGCCTAGACATTTTAATACATAGAGCTTTCCTTTTCTTGATTTGTTTCATAAATACCAATTTCCCTCACTATCTGAAAAGTAGAGGTTCTTGTGAAATCTTTCATAAGTCAAAATGGCTAAAGTGAAGAAGCAGTAACATTAACACATCGTGCTAACAGATACACAAAATAAATCAAGATAAAGCACAAATGCTCACAGATACAGTTCAAAGCTATGCCTGCTTAATGTTGACATGCTGAGTGCTCCTTCCCCAGGAAGGAGCTTGGCGGTGCCACTCTCACTGCTTGGGGTGCACGGGGTGGGGGGTGCACGCTGCCTCTATAATGGCTCCCTGCAAAACAAACACTGAATGCTCTTTTCGCTTTTTGCATGCAAGGGAAACTTCACTTCAGATTTCTTTGTTAGGGAAAACAAGTACTAATACAGGTCTTTCGTAAAAGCAAGGTGGCATAAAGTGAACTTTTGAAAATACCTGTAAGTACCTATTTGTTTGGGCCAGAAACCAGGCTGGGAAACAGGCAAGACAGACTTGGTTCCTGCCCTCCAATCAGTTTTCAGTCGTAGTTGGAAGGAAGGGCAGGGCCTGGGCAGGGGATGTGCAGGCTGCTCTGGGAGATGCAAGAAAGGCTTCTTGATACTTAGGCAGAAACTTGGAGGATAAACAGGAATAAATGGGGCAATGGGCATATGGGGAAAAGAGTGTTCTGAGCACTCTTTGGAACTACTTGTTCCCTGGTCTGGAAATGAGCAAAGGATGGAGCACAGACAGGGCAGAGATCAAGGGTATTAAGTGTACGAAGAGCCAAGGGCCTTGTAGGTGAGAGCTGAGATGTCTCCCTAGCTTTACTGAGGTATGAGTCACAAAAATTGTATCTACTTAGGTTGTATGTGATTTCTTAAGGTGTACAATGTGATGATTTAATATATAAATACATTGTAAAGTGATTACCACAATCAAGTTAATTAATACATCCATCACTTCATATTGTTACCATTTTTCATGTGTGGTGAGAACATCTGAGATTTACTCTCAACAAATTTCAAGTATACAATTTAGTATTATTAACTATATTCACCATGCTGTACATTAGATCCCCAGAACTTATGCCTTCTGTAACTGATGGTTTGTACCCTTTTCCTTCACTCCATCTTTTTCCACTAGCCTCTGGCAACTACCCTTCCACTCTGTTTCTATGAGTTTGACTTTTTTTTTTTTTTCAGATTCACATATTTAGATACCATACAGTATATGTTTTTCTCTGTCTGGCTTATCTTACTTAGCATAATGTCTTTCAGGCTCATTCACTTTGAAAATGGCAGGATTTCCTTTAAGTCTAAATAACATTTCACTATATATACATACATATACCACATCTTCTTTATCCATTCTTGGAAACATGTTATTTCCGTATTTCGGCTATTGTGAATAATGCTGCAGTGAACATGGACGTGCAGATCTCTCTTTGAGATATTGACTTCATATTCTTTGGAATATACACCCAAAAGCCGGATTGTTGGATCACGTGGTAGCTCTAGTTTTAATTTTTTGAGGAACCTCCTTACTGTTTTACATAATGGCTGTACCCATTCACTTCCGTGGATGTTGAAACTTTAGCATGGGGGCAACTGGAGTTTCCAGAGTGATTTTCCACAATTGAGGGAATAGCTAATTCTCTTGGGGAAAGGGCAAGAGACAATTAAGGGAAAGGGAAAAGTGTAAGTAATGCACAGCATCCGGGAAGGCCACAGCCAACTTTGGTTCCTGACGAGCGTCACTTAGCAGGGAACCCCACCTCCTTCCAGTTAGCCCATTAGAAGCAAGCCCCCAATGTGCTGTGGCCGCCTCCAGGCCAGACACAGAGCCGGCTAGACCGGGCCTGAGCCCTCCCTGCCAGGGCAGGTGGGCCGGAGAGCACCCTGCTGCCCCGAGGGTGATGATACTGCGAGTGTCCCCCGGCCGGGGGCGCCCTGTAGTTCGTCCTTCCCTCCCGGAACTGGGCCGACCCAGAGCGCCCCGCCCCACCGCCCAAGTTTCGATTCCCTGCTTGCCCCCGGCTGCGGCGCAGCGGCCCGAAACGGGTGAAAATGGCGGGCACGGCGGCGCTAAGCAGGACACCTGGAGGGCTGGGCCCCGCGGAGCCCGAGGACGCGCGCGGCTG